AACAACATCCAAGAAGTGACCTAACCACTGCTGGAGTTGGCACAAATGTTGCCGGGCAACTGAACCTTTTTTTTGTAGTACAGGCTTCAGCAGTGGTGTGAAGTAACTATTAAGTACTGCACTTAAGTACCATTTGGAGGTACTTATACTTTACTTGAGTATTTCAGTTTTATGCTACTGAATACATCTACTCCACTACATCTCAGAGGGAAATATAGTACTTTTTTGTATGTAGGTACTCAATTTAATAAATATTATGATATATATAACACAATAACTGTCTGAAAGGCATAACTGTGCCCACCAATTCGAATACTGTAATACTTCAAGTACATTTTGCTGTTAATGCTTTTGCACTTTCACTTAAAGATACAGCTGGTAACTTTGATCAAAATAACTTCCTGTGATATTTGCTGAAACTGTGGCTATATTCTGAAAGACATACAATCCCAATGCCAAAAAAGTTGGGATGATGTGTAAAATGTAAATAAAAACAGAATGCAGTGATTTGAAAAACTTGTTTGACCCATATTTAGACAAGATATTTGATGTTCATACTGATAGGTATTGTTTTACTGTAAATATACACTCATTCTGAATTTGATGCCTGCAACACGTTCCAATAAAGTTCAGACAGGAGCATTTACCACCATGTGACGTCACCTTTTCTTTTTAAAAACACTCAGTAAACGTTTTGGAACTGAGGACACTCACTGTTGAAGTTTTTAAAGTGAAATTTTTTCCCATTCTTGTTTGATATACGACTTCATTGTCTAAACAGTCGGAGGTCTCCATTGTCATATTTTGTGCTTTATAATGCGCAACATGTTCAGTAGGAGACAGGTCTGGACTGCAGGCAGGTCAGTCTAATACCTGCACTCTTTTACTATGAAGCCACACTGTTGAAACACGTGCAGAATGTGTCTCATCGTCTTGCTGGAATAAGCAGGGGCGTCCCTGAAAAAAACGTCGTCTGGATGGCAGCATATGTTCCTCCAAAACCTCTATGTGCCTTTCAACATTCATGGTGCCTTCATAGATGTGAGAGTTACCCACGATGCCATGGGATAGATGCTGGCTTTGAACTTTGTGCTGGTAATGCTCTGGATGGTTCTTTTCCTCTTTAATCCGGAGGACACGACGTCCATGATTTCCAAAAACCGTTTGAAATGTGGACTCATCAGCCCACAGCACACTTTTCCACTTTGTCTCAGTCCATCTCAGATGAGCTTGGACTCAGAGAAGTTGGCGAGAAGTCTGGATGTTGTTGATCTTAGCTTTCACTTTGCATGGAGTCTTAACTTGAATTCGTAGATGCAGCGATGAACTGTGTTTACTGGCAGTGGTTTTCCAAAGTGTTTTCAAATCCATGTAGTAATGTCCTTTATACAATGTCCACTTGTTTTACATCTGGAACCTCTCGGCTACAGTGGGCTTGAGATGCACGAATGTTGAAGACTTAGCTCATATTCCAGAGTTACTTCTTATCCTGAAGCCTCCTTAAGGAATCTGATCCCATTTGATTCAGCGGTGGGAACCTCTTGCGACCCCTTTGCTGACGTTAACCCCAGCAGAATTCGAACCCTGGACCTTCCGCGTGGAAGACGATTGCTCTATTCAATACACTAGGGAGACCCCTACTGTCCTTTATACAATCACGTTTGTTTTAATGCAGTGCCACCAGAGGGGTCAAAGGTCACCGCCATTTAATGATGGTTTTCAGCCTTGCCACTAGTAGATGGTAAAATGCCTCAATTTCTTGCAATTGTTCTGAACTTTGTTCATAGACTATTTGCCCACGCTGTTTTTCACAAAGTGATAAACCTCACTCTGTCCGTGCTTGTGACTGACGGAGCCTTTGAGGGTATCTCTTTCATACCCAGTCATGGTTTTTAATCTGTTACCAATTAACCTGTCTACCTGTGGAATGTTCCAAATAGGAGGGTTTTTTTTTTTTTTAGATTTCCACAACTTTCCCAGTCTTCTGTCTCCCCTGTTCCAACTTTTTTGGAATGTGTAGCAGGTATCAAATTCAGAATGAGAATAAATTTCACAAAAAAAGTTTATCAGTTTGAACATTAAATATTTTGTCTTTGTATTGTATTCAATTGAATATAGGTCAAAACAGATTTGGTGGATATTTACATTTTACACAGCGTCCCAACTTTTCTGGATTTGGGGTTGAACATGAGACAAATAATCAGTGAAAAGGGTCACGTCCCCCCTCCTCTTCCTACAGCCTCTAGTGGCATTTTCTGGAGTCGACCACAGAGCACAAACAACAACCAATCAGAGCTGAGGAGTCTCTCACGCAGCTGTCAATGTCAGTCACTGCTTGTTAAAAACTCAATTATGAATCAAGAATCTGTTATTGTATTGCTTATATCTCACCTGAAATGTTTTCAGAAACATATTTTAGTGTACTGTTTAGCTGTAAAATGAGAATGTTTGTGACCAAGCCGCCATGTTGAAAACAATCAAGCCAAAATGAAGTATCGTTGTTCATCCTTATTCCTGTGGGATAATGATTTCAAAAATATTTCCCACTCCGAAAATAAATTCCACTTCTTATGATAATGCATTTTTGTTACACACTTATTTTATGGAGTCGTAGAAGAGCCATAATAATGTTTGTACTCCACTTGGTGTAATGTATTTGTCCTCTATGTCACCTTGTCTGTTGTCACATAATTTCACCAATAAAATAAAAAAAAAGAAGAGCCATAATAATTTTTTTAAAAATCCATAAAATAATAAAAAAAATAAATGTGGAAATATGAAGAGAAATAAATAAAAGAATAAATAATAAACAAACAACTAAATATACAAGAATAATTACAAGTGTTTTCATTTATTTTTACGTTTTTTCTATCTATTTCTGTACATATTTATGTATAATTTGTTTAAAAATATATTTATTGATTTGTTTGCATATAACTTTATTTTTATGCATATTTTTATTTATTTATTTTTATATAATGTAATTTATTTATTTTTTCCTTTATTTTTTTTCCTTATTGTCTTTGGTTTTTCCTTTTATTGTCCCTGTTTATCATTTAATTATTTTTATATTTCCACATTCTTTATTTACTTCTTTATTCTTTTATCTATTTCTCTTCATATTTCCACTTTTTGTTTTATTCTTTTGCAGATTTCTTTTTCTTCATGGCACCCCTATGACTGCATGCTTATTTTTTTCTCAGTTGGAAAATAAATAAATGTAACATTCACATGCCATGTCATAATAAATCTAGCAAATCTAACCTGAGTTGCACAGATATCTGTGAAATCCATTTCAGGGTAGATTTTCCCTTTAAGTCCATCCTACAGTGTGTGTCACGCTTTCCACTTCCACAGTCTGTTTTAACTGTATATGGTCTTTATGTGGAATTTGTGATGGAAACATGACAGAGAATCAAAACGACACAAAAAGAGGCCCAGTCTTGTTAAAAAAGCAGAGCAGCGGCAGAGCAGCGGCTCGGTCCGCTGAAGGTCAAGAAATCAAATGACTTTGTTTGACTTTCCGAGGCAGTCATGTGTGCCTTTGTTTTGGCATTTCCTCAGAGGAAACTCCTGATTACTGAGTGTAAAAATACACAAGTGACTTATGTGGGGTGGAATCTGAAAAGCTTAAAGTCAACCATTAACATTTTTTAAACAATTCACCTTGTACAATTCTTTCAGAAATGCTTCAGGTTGGTACCAATAAACTCTGGAGCTGCAAGACTTTATCAGGCACTTAAGTCATAAACAAGAACCAGGCGATAAATGGTGCAAAATAAATGTTTTCTTATAACAACCTGTGTTTTCTGTGACCATATGGACCGTTTCATTGATATTCTGTTGCTAGGGCAACAACTTTGGTCCCTGTTTACTTCCTGTCAGCTTCTGCATTAACATAAATTCAAAGAAGAAATACAAAAGGACCCATTTAGAATGTTTATGTTGTCCGGTTTGAAACGGTCTATAGTCAATATGTATTGACATGCACAGCTTCATATGACTTTTAACTTTGTGTACAATGCTGTAGACAGTTGCGAAGAGTCAATGAGACTCTTTGATTAACCCTGTTGACAATCACAGATAACATCATGTGACTGTGAAACATATGGAGGTATCTGCTTAACTCCCATGGGACCTTCTGTGCAAGTGTTTCATTATATAAATACTCAAGTACATGTTTACACAGAGATGTTTCAATCCACCTTTATTCAAGCCAGACATCAAGGAAATTGTCTCAGACTTGGGCTGTGCACTTGTCCTGGAGATATGAACAGAAAAATGTGCAGGAACCTCTAATAAAAGGTTGGTCTTTTAGGAGCCACAAGTAAAGAATGAATCACTCCAGTAAAATGCCCCCTGCTGGCTGGGAAGGCAGCTTGTCACCAAGGGGGGAAAGAGAAAAAAAACGAGCCCCTTTCTGTTCATTTTTGGTGTGAATAGCAGAAACCCTGTTCACGAACTCCGTCGAAAAATCTGTAAATTTACACTTTACCTACGTTTTCCAGAAAAACATAGAATATAGAAGATAATACAAGCACTCTCAGAAACCGTGAAAGTCTTGTATTGAGTTCGGCTTACATCCAGCAGAACATGCACAAACTTAACTTTAAAATAATATCCCCAAAAAATCCCAGAGGCCGTGGTCTGCCACCACAATGCGACATGAAAAGGGCAAGCTAAATTGAAAAAACTAACACTTTTTAGACAGCTGGGGATTTTTTGGTTGATCATTTTACTGCCGAATATACCAGAACACCGAACCTAATGATAATATTGTATGTTATGTTATTCTGGTTATATGTGTTGTCAAACAAGTGCGATAATCTTACAATGGGCCATTTTTTCAATGGAGTTTGGCGTGATGCGGTTAGTTGTCTTTCCATTGTCAAACCGATTCTGAAACCCGTATGAACTTGATAAATTGAGAACAAATGTGCTGTATTCAAAGAGCAAAGACCAAAAATAAGGAAGTCTGAGAAAAAGGGCATTTAGCCTACCTGTCAGTGAGAGTTGACTGTGTGCCACTCATTGGGACTTCCCTTATGAGTTTCCGACGACTTCACCCAAATCACATTTTCATGATAGCGTCTGTCTTAATTTAATAAAACGGCTCCTTTATTTCGTCTCCTCGGTGTCCGTCCATATCCAGAAACGTCGACGACTTGTTATTTCCAGCATTCAGAGTTTAGAACCCGTTATTCTAATGGGAGTGCTGGCTGGACAATCCCAGGGGAGAGTGAAGGATAAAGTTAAAGTCATGTAGTTGTTCCCCAAAATCCAGAGTTGCAAGAAATAAAGAAATGTGCTACTTTTCTTTCTTTGGGGTGTGAATGTGTTTCATTAGACAGCCGCTGTCTGCATCAGCACAGACATCTGGAAAACCGTCAACTCCTGCTCACAACTTGCTTTCAATGTTTCCCCAACTTTCTCAGTTCACCTCCAAGTCCAAGTTGAGCATATCTTTATTTTTCCTTGGGAAATATTTCCATGGTGATGACACTCCAGACTATTCCTGATTATCCGGGGGAGAATTAGCCTACGTCAAACTTTGGCTGTTAAATCCAAAATGAAGGTCCAGAGTCCACCGACGCTGAGTTTGTGTAGCATCCTCCTCCAGGTCTGCTCACTTTAATCCTCTCTAGATGTGGACGACTGACGGGAGTGTTTTTGCTCCACAGTGTGATGCAAATGGAAAAAAAGGAAATGCTTTGTCCCCCCTCCCCAAAAGAGTCAAAAAGAGGAGAAAAACCCACCTTCCATCCTGTTGCGTTCAGGAGCTCCTCGTACTTCACTAAACTGTCCGATTTAGAAGTCATGATGATGTTTTATTTGACTTTTACTCACAATTAAACCGTGATAGAAAGTAAATAAGCAGCATGCATTTACTCAATTACAAATGTAAGGTACTTGTACTCTACTTAAGTGTTTCCATTCATAGTTCATACTTCCACCCCACTATATTTCAGAGGCAAAGGCTGCACTTCTTACTCCAGTGCATTTATTTGTCATCTTTAGTTAGTTGCAGATTCGGATTACTAATACAAAATATAATTAAACTCATAAATAACAACGTATTTTTATGGGATAAAACACCCAGTAGCTTATAAAGTAAACAAAATAAGCCCCACCTTTACCAGCCGCAACATTATGCATCAATAATTTTAATCTTATAATATATATTATTATTATAAAAATGGGACATTCCACATGAGTACTTTGGCTTCTGGTATTTTAAGTGTATTTTGGTGCTAATACCTTTGCAATTTTACTTCAGTAAATTTCTGAATGCATGTATTTTGAAACTAATGATACTTTCTGTACATAAAGGATCTGAATACTTCCACCACCGCTGTGGACAGAGACTACATACAAAATATGGACTAGAACAGTGACAGTGTATAAAGAAAGCATTAGTACTGAAAAACGCTTCACTGCAAAATAAAACACAAGCATTACAATGATTTTATTTGAATATTTTTTGCATTCTGATAGTTTTCCAATGACGATCTTCTCATGTTTTTCTTCATGCAACTTTTGAATCCTTGAATCCTATCATTGTTTTAGCCCCATAAAGCAACAGATTACCTTCACCTAATCAAAATATACACACGTGCAGTGTGTAAGGGTTGCAGCAATATACCGGTTTCAAGGTATACCGTGATGTAAAAGCTGACAGTCATTGTACCTTGAACGTTCGCTTTTCTACGTTATTGGAAAAAAAGATGCAGCTGGACCCTGAATCTCCCCTTTATTTTAGTTATTTTCTAAGGGGAGACTTTGCCCTCATACTTCCATTAACAAAATGGTTTCAAGTTTAAATTATGGTAATAAAATGTATGTTCAACCAAAAATAATCCTTCTGTTTTCATTCCTTTAAAGATCATTCTGACTAATTATAATATAAATTCTATAATACCATGATACTGTCACACCACAATATCTTTTGAGACAGTTATCATACTGTGAAATGAATTCCATACCGTTGCAACCCTACAATACATATACATATATTTACAGATACAGTACTGTATTCAATGCAATGAATGGCTCATGCAGATATTATAAATGACAGTTTCCACCTCACTGCACCATGTCCACATCTAACTACTCTCTTTTTCACCTGTTACCTGCAGTCCTTAATTACTACACAACCAGTGATGGAAAGTACATTTACTCAAGTACTGTACTTAAGTACAATTTTGAGGTACTTGACGTGCATTTTATGCTACTTCATAATTTCTCTACTCCATTTCAGAATGCAATATTGTTTTTTTTTTTACTCCACTACATTAATCTGAAAACTATATTAAGATTTTATTTTTGGTAAAATGAATAAATAAATTAATAAATAAATAAATAAATTCAAGTTAAATTTGATGCATTGTTACAGATTAAACAAGCTGTTTCTTACTTTATGGCTTGTATAAAAATGCAGTGTCTTGGTTGGATCCCTTGTCTTGTTTCAGATGTCTGAGTTGTTTCACATGTTGTTACACATTTACACTGCTTAATAATTATGAGAAATTTATTCTGATTCTAATTAAGATTTTAGTTATTATATTTTTATCACATATTTTGCTATTTGTTCGTTTTGTGAGTGTGGTTTGGCTGCTATTCCACCTATCTATCTGTAGGTGGCAGGACTGCGCCTGCCGAGAAGAAGAGGCAGTATCCTAATACATTATACGAAGAAGAAACCCATCTATCCACAGGCCAGCCGCAGCTAGCTAGCAGACAACGTAAACACCAGGACATCTTCGGGTAGATCGAGCCATTTCAGCAGTTTAACTTTAGTTTTCTTTGCCGCGGTTTATTGGAGAATAACTACACGATGTGGTAGTTTAGCTAAAAGTCTTATGGTCAGTCATGTTTGCTGGGATCTCGGAAGAACCAAGGCCTTGAAGTTGCCCTGCTAACGGATGGTAAGACATTGATTTGGCTCATAGGAGCAGCTAGCGTACAGCTAAGCTAACATTCATTGCGAAGGTTTTCAGTACGCGATGAACCAAAATGTAATGCCACTGGCTTGCTAAGAGCTAACGCCGTATTCTGGACATATTTGCGAATGTATTGTAACGTTATCGTGTATGTGTGCGTGGGACAACTCGATGAAAGCGCAGACTCGGTACGCGCCCCGTTTACCGTGGTGTTGACAGAATCTGCCTCAGAAAATAGAGCAGCTAAATGTCTCTTTGCTTGTAGTTAAATATCGGAACCTGGTAGCTAAAAACGCAATATTGGTAACAATTACATCCTTTTATTACTTTATGCATACAATTTGTTCTTCAAGGAGCATTTGAATTGGACACAGTCTCCATTTGTGTGTGTGGTTGGCCTTGTACGCCCACTTTGTTTCGGAGTTACTGAGATGCCCAGTGGTGGGCGGTACTGGTCAGTGTAAACACAAAGTTAGATCTTTATTGAAACAGATGCGAGCCTGGTGACTTGTATTCTGTAACAGATAATGGCCAGCAGGCTCCTGTCCTAGCTTCCTGATTAATTAGTGCCATTTAACACGCTGTAATAAGACTGCGGGAATTGTAAATGGAGTTTGGCATCCTCTCCTCTGTATTGTTCTTAATGCTTTCAGATTAGGGATGCATGATATTGGGTTTTTTGCAGATATCCAATCTGATATATAACATCTCATTTGGCTGATTACCGATAGATACCAATATCGTTATATCCACTTTTTCCCCCCATCTCATTTTAGTGATCATCAAGTCTCTTATGTGGTGGAATTAACATCATATTATGCATGCACACTCTTATTGTAATGGCCCACCAGCAGATGGAGACATGAAATACAATGCTTTTCAGTGTATGTAATATTAATTTATCGTGCAAAATAATAAAAAGCATGTTGGCCGATTCTAATAGTTCATTTTAAAGCCAATAATTGTGCATCCCTATATCAAATTTCATGTGAAGTCCAATACCTGCACTGACTCGATCCCGACTAACATGTAGTGTCTGAGTAGCCACCGTCTGTAAGTTTTATTCTAAGTCAAGCCTGCTTTCACAAATACTCGTTAGTGCACGACATATATATATGTGTATATATGTATATATGCTCACATACACTGAACAAAAGTTTAAATGCAACACTTGTTTTTGCTCACATTTTCACAGGTTTAAGTTAAAGATCCAAGACTTTTTTATGCACTTAATATTTCTCTCAAGTTTGGTTGCAAATTTGTTAAAATCCAAGTTAGCACACAACATTGCTATTTCACAGGTATGCTGACTGCAGGTATATCCACCAGAGTTGTTGCCCGTGAACTGAATGTTCATTTCACTACCCTAAGATGTCTTCAATGTGATCTGTGTGAATTTGGCAGTACATCCAGCCGGCCTCACAATAGCACAAGTCAGTTATGACAAGCTGCTGAGAATGACAAGTATGCAGATGAGCTTCCCTGAGATGGTTTTGAGCCAAATTCTTCAGTTGTGCAACCCAATTTTTGCATCAGCTGTTTGGATAGCTGGTCCCGGGCAATCTTGCAGGTGAAGATGCTGGATTTGAAGGTCCTGAGCTGGTGTGGTTATATGTGGTCCACAGTTGTGAGGCTGGTTGAATGTACTGCCAAATTCACTTAAATGACATTGGAGATGTCTTATGGTAGTGAAATGAACATCCAGTTCATGGGCAACAGCTCTGGTGGACATTCCTGCAGTCAGCATGTCAATGAGACACTCCCTCAAAACTTGGGACATCAGTGGTGCTGTGTTGTGTGATCAAACAGCACATTTTAGAGTGGCCTTAACTGTCACCATCCCCTGGCACACCTGTAGTAATGATGCTGTTTAATCAGTATCTTGATATACCATACCTGTCAGGTGGATGGATTATCTTGGAAAAAGAGAAGTGCTCACTAACTTGGATTTTAACAAATTTGCAACCAAACTTTGAGAGAAATATTAAGTGCATAAAAAGTCTTAAATCTTTAACTTAAACCTGTGAAAAATAGGGGCAAAAACAAAAGTGTAATGCTTGAATTTTTGTTCAGTATATTAATCAGCTTTACAAAATAGTCTCCAACAAATGTGGTATTAAATCCTATTTGAGTGACATTTGCTAAAAAATACAGTGGGCAGCCTTTTTAGGAAATTACTGAGCGTTTTTTAAGATCGGACCTAATGTTTTATATTTGTGAACATTTAACAGACAAACATGTTTTTAGGGATTTGCTGACATTATGACAATACAGAATATCTTACCTTATTTTTTAACTACATCCCAGTTGCCGATTGTAGATTTGTAAACTTTCCTAGAAGACACTGTTGATGCCTTCAGTGTATCTTAATGAGCTCCTATTTCTAATTTCTCTCATTTTTAAACTTATTTTTTGTCCAAAACATTAGAATACCAATGTGAACATACACTTTATATTCACTATTTCTTATTTTTTAAGAGCTGATAGAACTTTAAAAGTTTATTCAACTGCTTTTAAAAACAAATAACCTAACAGATAATGAGATGGAGTTTTCAGCAACTGTCATTTGGAGAGTATAAACGCACATAATGTAATTGAATCATTCAGCTGTGTGTTCATCAGTAACAGATTACCAATGTTTGAAAGATGAACAGTGTTGTAATCCCACAAAAGTGTTTCTCATTTTTGGTTATATGATATTGTTTATGCTAAAAAGTTGTCTAATCTT